GTTTAATTCAAAGTATGTTATTTTTGAGGATAAATTAGAAAATAATTTTACAAATTCTTCATAAATAGTCGCCGATAGAAGTGATGACATTATCGTAGAAACAGTTGGTTTTGTTTTAGTGTGTATTACTGTATATATCGTATACTTTTGTTGTATTTAAAGCTCATCACTGATGCCGGTGTTGACTGTCGTCAACATAAATAGCTTTCTATACAATAGTTTCTTCAAATCGACGAAATCTTTCTGTTAAAGAAGAAGAGAAAAGATTGCGATTATATTTGGATTTTGTTTAATAATTATTATTAGTTATATTTAGTAATTTTTATAACAATTCACAAAATCATTTAAGTTTTGCATTATATGTTTGATTCGGTTTTTTAGTGAAATATATTTTTAGGTTTAATTTAAATGAATTTGAAGAATGGAAGAAAACATTTCATTCATTATTTATTTGTAAATTCAATTGTGAATCCATTTAAGCATCAATTGGTATATTATTTCCCATAAGAAGAATAATTCAGAAGGATTTAGATTTCATCGCATATGCATTACAATAGTATATGAATTATTTATATATCTCATCACAATATTGTATAAAAACAAGATTTAAAAACAATTTGTTTTTCAATGCAATTGTTTTGTAATGATTGAATTGGATTTGATTTTCGAGCAAACATCATATAGAAATAATCCCAAAATTGCACTTTTATTTAAACACGTAATGCATTAACAAATTGTTATATCAAAAATATCACGAATATTTCATAACTCTTAACATTTACATTAAGAAAGCGATTAAAATGCACTCAAAATCCATTTGCTTTTAAATGTCACCAGAATTTAATACCTGAAGAATATTCTTTGCCCTTTTATTCCACATAAGACTAGACGTCAAACATTTAAAAGGTTTCAATAAATGTTTAACGAAGCCATTCATGCAATACCTACAGTATGTCTAGCCTTCACATACAAGAGTAAATAAATTATTAAATAATCTCAAAACAACTTCCTCTGCAAAATATAAATACATACAAAATGATAAAAATATTAGAATATATAAGAAATATATATTAATTTTTTCACCAGAAAATTCTGTTCATTAGTAGTTTGTGTATATATTTTATGTAACGGTAGAGTCAATGTATTTGCATTGTAAGTGAATGTCAATGACATCCGTTGAAAATATAAGTAGAGATTATAATATGCATTAAATGCCTGTATATTGTAATTCAGGAATCGTTTGATGAGTTGTTTTGAGCAATATATGCGGGGTATTAACAAATAAATACCTTTAATGGTTGGTTTTGGGTCATTAACTTATTCTTAGTGAACGTTATTGTACCAATTAAATTATAATTAGTCCATTAAACTACAAGTGACCAGGAATCAATTATTTATTCTTAAGAAACCAAACCGTTTATCAAATATTGCTTTATATAATAATTTAATAAACATGATATATAGCGAGTTGTTGTGATTAACTATTAATACCATAATTGGTATTATACAAAATTATTTGCCTGCTTTCAACACCATTGTTTTGATTATTTGATATTTTGCTTGGTAAAATAATTTAATAATATTAAGAATAAATTAGTGTGATCCTTAAAAAGTTAATTTAATTTTACCGAATAGTTATTAAGACAAATACAAACCTTTGAGCAAAAATTCATTTAATAAATTAAGTATTATAAATGAAGATAAATAATAGATAAATAAAACAACAAAAAAGTGATAATTTGTATGAAATATACCCGAAAGTTGGCACTCATGAAACAGTAGATGAATGGATTGATGCATGAGTTGGCCATTGCTGTCCAATGTATGATGAAATACGAGCCCACAAACAGATAGTATTGAAATGGACTCGGATTTGACACAATAGACGGACGGAATGTTAGCAACAGAATGAATACATGCATCGGAAGCCTATGCAGACAATAAGACACCCATTTCTTAGAATTGATTCAATGATTAGGTTTCAAGAATAATGAGAATAAAAATAATTGACAGATAATACAGACCAACACAACACGAATAGTATCCATACGGCAAACAGCATCTTGATCACCTATATAACATACAACTTATTTTAATATATGCCCTTTTAACAGCTTGTTAATTTAATCATGTCATATTCAAACATATAAGTTATATTAGTATAACTCATGTCATATATAGTTAATTGAATTATACTGTATGTCGATATTTCTATTTATATAAATGTTAAAGGAATTAGTTTATGATATAAATAAATTGTTGGATATTTATACCAGAAACTAGAAAAACAATTAAAATGGGAAAATATATTGTGATAATCACTTACTTTGGATTTGTTGTTCGCTCGCGAGTGAAGGGATTGGGAACTGTTGGGCGCCTTATAGAAGAATATCTTGTATCCAATATTACCATAAGTAAACGCCAGACTATAAGTAAT